CTCTAAATTACTCTAAACTACACAGAGAGAGGAAGAGAGAGAGAGAGAGAGAGAGAGGGATCAAACTCGAGTGCAAGAGAACGGACATACTTTTTTGGCCAACTAACTTAACTCACAGCTACAAATTCTTAATTAGATTTGAGAATCTAATTGAGAAACATATCATAAGCAAACATTACAAGTACTACATGCACTAAATTTGTTGACCATATCTTGACAAGGTGAGACCCGTAGGTTGATCTTCCAAGTCCTATTAGTAGAGGCCTAACATGTACAATAATTGTTTTACCATGCTAGCATCTTGAGCCAAACCCAACAAGCCGATATACATTATGTATGGGGCAGAATTTATTACATAATTATTTTACAATGATTCAATAGGAGTTGGACGGCTCAGATTAACTGGTTTTAAGTTGCAGAGTGTGTCGGCGAGCCGCAAGGAGAGACAGTCAAAGGACAGAAACTGATGATCGAGGGCTCGATGACGTAGAGAGAACGAAAGCACCACAACATACATCCGCAGATTCTGGATTTTTGCAGTGGTCGCCATTGTCATGTAATGTAATGTAAAGAAGCTGAGCTCTCAGCTATAGTTTGGTAAGCAAGACACAGGTCAGACAAGGGTAGGGGGGCAACAACCAGCTCTATATAATTCGTTTTATAAAAATCTTCCACGTGTGGTATGCCTAAACAGTTTCTTTGTTTTTTGTTTTCTTTCTTACGCGGCTATCTAGTCATGTACTAATGTTGATATGATTTCTCATCGACAAATATATAACAATTTGGGTTGGTAAGAATAATGAATGGTTTGTGCCCAAAAATTGACTTGGTCAGCTGATCAGATTAGGGTAATCTACAACAGACGCAAATTGAGGGTACTGATATTACTATATTTACTAAATTAGTTGAGCCCGCGCTTTATGTTGTTAGGTGTTTTTTAAGAAAACGTGTTTTGTGATTCATAAGTACTTGGACCTTTCAGACGTACTCGTAAAACACAAACTTATAAGGTCTATGATAAATTTTGTAGTAGAGATTGGTATGCTATATATGAACACACTTTAATAAAAACAAACCAATTGGATTGACAGGTTCATTGGATCATTAAAAATCATTTCATTGTATAAAAACACCCCACGCAAATTTTGGGTATTTTTCATCATAAGATGTGGACTGCTCATAATCAATTTGGAGACAAACTCACATTCTAAATGCTCAAGAATTTTCACACCTTCTTTTTCTTCTTTAATGTGTGTGTATATATATATATATATATGGACCTCACCCACCGTTCCTTTGGTTACAACCTAGCATGCTAATGCTATGCATGCGTACTTAAATCCAAACCTTAATGTGATAAGTTCAGTTTCTAAGGTAGCTGAAAAGATAAAAGAAATTCGATTAAAAGCTACCATAATTGGTTTTGGATGGAAAGAAAAATGCGTGCACCTGTAGGAGACAAAAAAATCTTTGCAGAATTTATGGGTGTAGACGACAACCGATCTGCACACGGCGTGAGAGAGATTGAGTAAGACGCTGACTCTCAAGCCTCATGTGCGGATTGTCTCTACCTGGTCCAAAATTTCAACTCTCTCTGTTTTTATGATTTACCATCCCCACCACTTTGCACTAGGAAACAAATGAAATTTATCTATGGGCTCGAGATGTGGGCACATCACTGCCTCATATGTCACCTATTTATTTTCCCCGCTACCAAACACAGACAAACAGTTAAAGTCTTCGACCAAAAACAACAAAAAAAACAGTAAAGTCCAAATGAGTCTGTGTGAGGTTGATTAGATGTTATGCACGCTACTAAAAATTATCATCCTCTTAATAAGTAGATGTGAGAATAAATTGGAAACTACATTTTTCATGCTTTTGCTTTTGCTTTTGGAGTTGTAGTTTCCTGACAATTGTTGGAGTGAATACAAATTAGTTTTATGCATGCACCTGTCAATGACCATATATCTTGTTTATGAGGGACAGCAAAACGAGTGTGATCAGTTTCCAAAATATTAGACTACAGATAAATAGAAAGTTAAAAACAATGTATCGGAAATTTTGACCACATTTGCTTAGATCCGTGCTTGAATGAATATCACATACATCAACGGTTAATAACGAATCGAACACATAATTTTTTGATCCCATTCGCTCAGATTCATGCTTGAACGAATATCTCATACATCAACGGTTAACAACGAATTAGACACATAACTTTCTGATTAAATTCACTCAGATTCGTGCTTAAATGAATATCACATACATCAATGATTAACAACAAATCGGACACATAACTTTCATAAAGCAAAAGTAAACCAAATTAACTGATGGCAAAAGCTTTTCTTACCTAAGTTTTGTATTTATTCTTTCCCTTATTTTTTGGGTTCAAAGTGTGGCTAAAAGGTGCATGATATATCCTCTTTTTGATCGAGTCTATCCTAGGAGTTTTGGCTTTTGCATACGAGATGGAACACGATTTCACTCATAGCTAGGCCGGTGATGATCACATGTTTGTTAGAGAAAGCATAGTTATTTTAGGGGAAACAAATGGGTCCAAAATTTATTATTACTTTATATTGGTGGGATCGACTTCTGTCATGATCAAATTTCAAACTTCAGATTAGTTGATGGGATTAGATTGGTGAGTTAACAAGAGGAAATGATTAAAGGGAGGCCCCTCCGACAACGCCAATATAGTTGAGGGATTATGGTAAGGATTCTGTGATTAATTAACCCCGGAATACGAGGGTACTCTGATATGTACATTCGATTCTAATTCAGGGCTCAAAAATCTCTCTCTTGTTATGTCATGGGGTCTCCGCCAACAGTGACATCCCAACCAAATAAATCTAATCTGCTGTTGCCCTGAATTGCGAAGCTTCACTCTTTGTCACTAACCAACAGAATAAACATGACAATCAAACAAGAATCTTTAGGTAAAGAAAATTGTACCCAAATTATTGAGAAGGTTGTTTTCATTCATAGTTTCCAGAATAAACAATCAATTTGTATATGAGAATGGGCAGAATGGGCCTCATGCCAACCCATTTGGAATTCAACTATAAAGGTTCATTTCATTATGAACACTTTTATATGCACCCATCAATTTAGTTAGTGCGCCCAATGTCTGAAAAATAATATCAAACTGTCCAATTTGGAGGATTATCAATGCCGTATTCACTTGCTTGCAAAAAAGAAACTGGAAATGATAAAGAAAATCGACCTCCTGTCAAATGATTTTAGGATTTCATAATCGGAGAAGTGCAATATATTGAACAGATACAAAATCATCTTATTACATGTAAAATTCTATAACGAGGGTGTCATATATCTAGAACAACTCCTTGATAGAATTTCATGCCACACCGGCCCAATATTAAAGGTATTTTTTATTTTCTTGGACTATCTTCTTCAAGTCCGTGGCCATGAGGGTGAACGCTTCAACTTCGGTGTAGCACTTTAGAGTTGTGGTCGAGATGGGTAAGTCCCAAAGAGAGACTTTTGTCAAGACGGGCAAGTTAGAAGAGGAGGTAACACTATTTGATGCCCACTTTACAAGTTCTTCTCCATAAATATCACCTTTGTCAAGACAGATGGTTGTTGTTGAGCCATTTGTTCCATTATTATTAGTGGCATAGGTCAATATCTTGCCTTGCAGGATGAAGACCATCTTACCAAGTGGTTCCCCTTCTCGAATAATATAACTGTCCTCACCATAGAACACGGGATGAAAATTCTTGCAAATTGCTTCCAATGATCCATCATCCATAGTTTGAAACCCTGGAACCTAGAGACGTTAAATATCAATGAGAAAACTAAAGACATTGAATCCCATATAAAAGGAACATATTTACAACTTTCTAGTATAGATATGAAAATTTATAGCGAATAAATGAAGCCTTGTTATACGAGGAATTTTTGGGTGTGACTCTCTCTCTCGCGCACTCTCTAATAAGAATATTTCTAGACTGTAATTTATTGTACGAAATTGTTCAATTTTTAGGTTTGCTATCCATGCAAAAAGATCAACTAAATCGAGAATTGTTTAACTGTTTGATTATCTGCATTTTCGTTTCATTTTGTAAGTTTTTCTTATTATCATAATGCCATATAACATCAGTTTGGATTTTACAAGATGTAGAAGGTCAAGAAATGTTGTAAAAATATTTGTCCTGTGATCCAAGAAATGTCGGAAAAAGATGTATATTATAAAACTTACTTCCTTTAGCACATTCCACCATAGATGTTTCGCCATTTTGCACATCAGTCCCATGGATATAACAGATCCGATACTCTGAATATTAATATCTTTGTTTTCGTCAAGATTGTTCAGTACGCTTGTCAGGATCCTATCCTTAATAATGAAAGGGAGGCCAATTTTTCGTAACCACAATCTTATCTCGAAATTCCTCTTGCTCGTCATTTTCATAAACTTTGTTGTTGTAGCTGCAGACTGCGGAATCCATAAAAACTTTGTTAGTTCATTAAATTATTCAACTGCGAGATCAATGCAGAGAGCATAGCTTCTTTATCTATTCTAGAAGCTATCCAATTACACAAAATGAAGCTGAAACCAAAATGTTATAAACAATAGACCATGACTGCTCATGAAGAAAACCAAGATTTCTTGTCAGGACAGGAACCAGCAAACGTGGTATATTTATTAGAAATAAAGAAAAAGGTTTACCACGACTTTTAAGTTAGCCTAAAGAAATTTTCAATATAAACACACACACTAACCTGCAAAATTCCTTGAAGATATATTAAAAATAGTAGCATGCCAGTTAAAGAAATAAAAATCGCGAAGAGATTCTCCCATGCATAGTTGCTGGTCTGAAGATTTTGACCAAAAGAACTGCAAAAGTTAGCGGAGCAAGCAAATATCAGATCATACATTCATACAACATTAATCATGACCATCGGATCATCATTGACTAAGCAATTCCACAATCACCAGCCGTTAAATCAAAATTCAATTGTCGACCATATATGATATCTATATAAGAAAGAAGACATGCTTTAACCAAATAACATAAAAAGGCAACAACAATCGACAAAACAAAACGACAGCTGCAAATCATCTTGACTTGCTTTGTTTTCTGTTTGTAATTGTGGTAACATATATAGTTCAATATACAAAATCCAATTAACATATATGCAAACCTTAGATTCCGCAAGCCCCACCAGAAATAGTGCAGCAATTTTGGTCGAAATTCAGTTGTCCCCACCATACCAGATTGAAGAGAATCAAGAAATATACCAAAGTTGAAGACCGTTGCATTTGATGGATTTATAGGACACAATTCACTTAAGAGTGTGATATTTCTCAATGTATGATCATCATCACAGTCAAAACTATTAACCTCACACCCATTTTTACTTTGACACGCATATTGCCAGCAAGCTGTTTCTCTTTGTATAGAGAAAAAGTACCAAAGAGCTCCAAACACCTAAAACAAAAACAAATTAACAATATTACTTGCTGAACAAGAAGAAGAAAAAAAGCAACCGCGAGAAACTTGTTACATTTTGGTTTTGCTAATTAGTAAGATAATAAGTATTGGAACTTACATGACTTACAACGATGATCGCAAAGGATTGGTAAATACCTTTAACCCATTTTCCTCTTGGAAGTAAGTAAAGTTCCTGGATTGCAAAGTAGATGCAAAGAACTCGTGGTAGGTATTGAAATAAAATAAGAAAGTTTAGAATCAAAGATGCCGGGCCCTTCATTTTTGTAAAAAAAATGAAAATTACTACCTGCACACATTCCAGAAGCTCAGGGTAGTCCAATTATCATATGACAAAATTTAAATAAACAGAACTAATTGGCAATGGAGGAGTGACCAAACTCTTCACAAAGTTGTACAAAATTTCTACATGTATGACAATTCATTCTCACACGAAAATTTATAGTGAAATTTATATCCTAACAACAAGTTATTCTTTTTGGACGTTAAAGTCGTACCTGGGGAATTGGCAGAATCGCTAAAATGTCAATTATCAAGAAACAAATTTGGATGCATGAGCGGGAAATCTTCCCCTTTAATGGGAAAACCCACTTAATTTTCTTCTCCCATAAGGTTTGACCATAAAAATATTGAAAAATAATATGCACCAGGTAGAATACATCTGTGAGTGATCGCAGAATAAGAACAACTTTCTTTAACTTTTTGTCCAATCCGAGACACTTGTTATCTTCGTTGACAATGGGGATGTATAAGAACAAGGGATCCACTAAGACTGAAAGCACACATGAACAGATAAACACAGAATGCCACACTACTATGAACGTTTGCCAACTTGGATAAAGAATAGACGCCAATTTCGTTGTCGGTATACCTCCTCCATTGGTCACCGTAGATTTTTCCTTCACAGTTTCATCTGGAATGCTGAAGAAGACAAAACGAAAACAAAATAAATTTTGCACCTATTAGCAGTTAGCTACAAACATCAACGAAGGAGCCACTGAACCTAAAGAAAATGGTCGTTGAGTTAGAGGAACTAACTTAATCTTCTGTTCGGAGATCTCCATGACTGCATATAGGAAGAACTGAGAGTTAGTGAATGATCATTATTTTAAAAAATCTGAAGGAGAAAATGAGTGATACCGCTTTGACTCAAATTGGTAGATCAGGACAAAGACAAGGACAGCAGGAACTCCGCAAATGAACATGCAGCAGGTCCTCGTTTTAAAACAAAAATTGGGAAGCTAAGTCAGCATTGAATATGGTTTATAATTGACTTCAAATTAAGACAGTAGGTCCATATCTTACAAATGTCAAGCTAGTTTCATATAAATTAAGATTTCAGTAAGACAAGCTTTCTTCGAGTTTTGGTATAAATCAGTTTATTAATCACTCAACTTAGCATCTTTTTCCAAAGTTGCTATTGATTAGGATCTCGGGTAGCTAATAATAAAACATTAAAAAAAAGACTAAGACCTTAAAACCGACAAGTCGGAAAGGAAGAAATTAGGGTGGGAATTGCTTTGATTACATTGACTTTCTGTGAATAACAAAACATTACCACTCATTCCGGGAATTGCTTTGAAATTAGGGTGGGAATTGCTTTGAAATTAGGGTTAATTTCAATTTAGTACCATGAAATTTTTACCCTTAAGGCATATTTGTCTCTCCACTCTCAATTTTAACGATTCCTAAGCTTTTCTATTTTTTGCAATCTGGTTCCGACGTTGGTCTTATCTCGTTAGGGCATTTCCACTCATTTGTCATGACAAAATGCAAAGGGAGGTTACTATTCACATGATATATGAGGAGATGAATTTGTATAGAGTTTTGGAGTGGGAAGTGAAGAATATGGCTAGGTACTTATATAATATTTAAAAAAATCTGAAATTTTGGGGTTTTTTTTCTTAATTTTTTTTTGTTATTTAAATTTGCTGATGACGTCAGCATTAAGTCATCTTGCCCAGACAGTAGCCCAAGCAAGTCTTGCCTTGGGTCTTGCCCAAGCTGGTGGAGCCCAGCACTTGCCTTGGCTGCTGGAAGTAGGGTTGGGCATCTCATCCTAATTATCCATGTATCGACCGTACCGTACTGACGGTTTGGTTTGGTTTGGTTAAATAATTATTTTTTAATTTTAATTATTCCGATCCGATCTGTACCAAAATGTTTGGTTTGGTTTGGTTAACAGAAAAAAAATTCCCAACTCGACGGAAACTCGTACCAATCCGATATTTATACTTACTTTATTATTTAAATACAAAACAAGAAACCAAAGATAAATACGAACAACATTTTGTATCACTCCTTTATCATTACTGTATCACTTCTTTCTCACTATTGTATCACTGCTTTATCACCATTTTATCACCGCTTTATCACCACTATATCACTTCTCTATCACCATTGTATCACTTACCCGAGTACTGTAGCACTTTTTGGTCAGAGAGGAATTTATGAACTTCTTATGTTTTCCAGTTTCGACCTTTGTCCCTTTTTCACCTGTAACTTTCCAACTGTTGATCCAAATTTTATGTTCTTTGTATGGTTGGATTCAGCATGAAAAACTAAAGAACCCAGCGTGGAACAAGTGTCAAAATCATTTACATAAATGTAGAGAATTCAATAAAAAGAACACTCAAAGGTTCAAACAACAAACACAAGTGGCTTCTAGTACATCTTGAGCACATATCGAATGATATAATCACTAAATTATTTGATTTCATACTTGGATGAATTCGACTATTGGATTTTTATATTTTACAAGGATAATTTGGTGTGTTTGTTCAAGAACCTATGTTATGTGAAAGTATTATAAATTGTATTTTTATTAGGCCAATCCGAACCGAGTATTAGGTTAACCGATCCGAAGTCTACCGAACTCTTTGGTTTGGTTAACGAAAGAGAAAATGGTCTACCGAAGTCTTTGGTTTGGTTAACGGAAGAGCCTTCTACCGTTCCGAACCTATCCGTGCCCAGGCCTAGCTGGAAGAAATAAACATAAATTGCTGATTAGGGGCCTAGGGGACCTTTTGCCTGGGCTAGCTTCTCTTACTAGAGTTGCTCTTGAAATTTTCATTAACTGTTGATGTGACATATGTGGTATCCACTATTTAAAACTTAAATTGCTTAAAATATGAATAAAACATTATATAAAAAAACTAATTAAAAAAAAGGAAAAAAATTATAAACACAAATAAAAAAGAAAAACCCATTAGCCTCAAGCAGCACCCCCTTCCCTGATCCCCAAACCATACCCCCACCCCACGGCCTCAGCTACACCACCCAAGTAGCCACCCTCTCTCTCTCTCTCTCTCTCTCTCTCTCTCTCTCTCTCTCCCTCTCCTATCCATTCCACCCATCCAACGACACTACCCAGATTTACCCCCAAAAAGGCGAGGTCTTCTACACCCCCAGCCAAATTCGCACCGCCTATTTTCTCCGAGCCAACTTTTGCCATCGCCATCTGAAATGAAATATAGATGACAATTTGAGCAGCTAGTTTTGTGGATGTTAGTTTTCTTTGCAGATTTAATTCCTTAGTTTCAAATGCTCATCACGAGGACCAAGATTTTCTGTGAGAACATGTAAAAAATATATATATATATATTAAATAATTATTCATACTACATATTAATTATGTATTAATATGAATTTTTCTTATTTAAATATTTATTGTGAAGACTTATATGTTATTAAATCTTAAGCCTAGTATGAGATTATCCATTTAGTTGAAAGATGACACCATTCTTGTTATCCATGTGTAGAGACTTAGAATTGGTTTTAATCAAATCATCATTGCCATGCCACCTTACATGCTAGTAACAAGTGTTGTTGTGATGTTATTGGTCAAAGGTGGATGACTCACATTATTCCTTAACTTTCTACCTTATCTTTTGGTGGTGGTATTGTGATATCATTGGGCAAAGGGGGATGAGTCACATTATTCCCTACCTTTCTATCTTATCTTTTGGTGGTGGTGTTGTGATATCATTGGCCAAAAGGGGATGAGTCGCATTATTCCCTTACTTTTCTATCTTATCTTTTGGTGGTTTAAGATATTGTATATATAAATATTATTTGGGTGCATCCATAGCCTCTTATATAAGTATCATGCTTCCTTACTTCAATCATTCATTCCAATCTTTTAAGACAGATTTCTACCATGAAGTAGTGAGAGAGAGAGAGAGAGAGAGAGAGAGAGAGAGAGAGATAAGGAAGAAAAAGAAACAAGATGAAGAGCGTGTGTGTTTGTCTTGCCATATTGCATACTTATCATGGTGAGTGGGTTATGAAATATGTTCTAAAAGTTCTTATTTTATGATAAATGTGAAAATCATGGGTTTATTCTATTTACAAATCTCTCTCTATTTTCAAGTCAAGCATGTTTAATTTATGCAATATTTCACACAATATATATTGTTTGAAGTTTTTGTGAAATATATATTATTCATGGAACATGAGAACTTCAGTGACGGGGTATCCGAAGGATAAATGTACCAGACGAGGACATAGGGCAGTGAGGCCAATAGGGGTCACGTACTTGGTACAATTTGTGAAGGATAACCAAGATATGAAGTAATGATGTGATATGATTTGGATTGTGTATCTTTTTATTATATTTTTCTAGAGTGTGTAAAATGACATTGCTTAACTGGTATATTACATAATCTGCTCACTGAGCCGTGGGTTGCTCATCCCTCATCTATTTTGTTTTTCAGATTAAGTAGTGAGCAAGACAAAGCCGAAACCAGAAAAGTTGGATTAGTTTAGAGTGATAAACTTTTATTTATATCATGTACACTTATAAGATTATTATATATATTTTTTCATATATATAATGGTAATGTATTTTAACCAAATTTTCAATCTTTTTATTTATTTCTTTCAATTCACACACCCAAATTCTAGAATATTCTTTATTTTCGAATCAGGTCGTGACATTTTCTATATCTTATGTGTTCGTATATTTTGTTTTTGTTTCCGTGTGGGGTAAATCTGGTTCTGCCTTTCCAACATACAATTACTTGTTCTGATGCTTGCTTTCTTTAGAGAGAGAGAGAGAGAGAGAGAGAGAGAGAGAGAGAGAGAGAGGTGGGTGGCATGAAGGTAGATCAAATTTAAGGCTTTTCCTTACATGGAACAATGATTGTTGCTGGTCTTTAACACATTGGCTTTGTCAAATTAGAGACTATGTTGAGAAGAATATTTCTCTGTGTATAGACAGAGCCAGAAAGCTAAGAATATATAGAGAGATTTACAAACCCTACAAGGAATCCTAGGTTTACTTGGCGACTACTCCTAAATCAATTACAATCAATTACAGAAAAGGAAATAAAGAAACTTCCTAATTTCCAACACTCCCCCTCAAGTTGGAGCATGGATATCAAGAATGCCCAACTTGCGTACAAGATTGTGAAAAGCATTACTTCCAAGGGCTTTTGTGAACAAATGCAGGTTAAACTGTCGATGAGTGCTCATCATAGAAACTTGGTTTCTCTAGTTGGGTACTGGGATGAAGGGGAGACTATGGCACTTGTTTATAATTTCGTTGCTAATGGAAATTTGCAACAGCTTTTCTCAGCTGGTAAATCGATACTTATTCATATGAACTCGCTTTATGGGGATTGACCATCTATAAACCTAATTCTCCTTTATTGCTCATTTTCAACAAAATTTAAAGAATTCTATGGTCACTGAAAACTTTTGGGTGCAGATGTAACTTTACACGTTTTGACTTGGAAGGAGAGACTTCAAATTGCAGTTGATGCAGCACGAGGTAAGCACTAAAACAAAAATAAAAATGAAATGAAAAATTACATATATAATCTAGTTTCTTCTCTTCCAGTTTTCAAAATTTAATTCTGCTCTTGTGTTCATCTTGGAAACATTAATGAAATAGTTATGACTAATGTATGTACATACATATATGTACTATATTCTTGTGTTGAAACACAAAAACATAGTATGTTGCAAGAAAATTGTTAGTACCACTTTGCAAAACACAAGGAGGTGTCGTATAGCAGTGTAGTTCAGAAGTCCGAGTGTCATATTCACAGAGAGCGGTGTAAAGAAAATAACAGAGCTGAAAAAAAAAAATTGTGATTAAGAAGTAGATTTAAATAGGATTTGATTAAAGAAAATTTAATTGATTAAAACACTAAGGCATGGCAAATCAAGCTGCCCATGCTGCAGCAAAGGTGTCAAACGCGAGGGTGGGTAACGTCTGATGGATGTCGCAACCTCCTCCCTCTCTTGTTTCGGTCCTGTCACGTGATGGTCTCCCTTGTCCACACTATTTTCAAGCCTAGTGTGTGTCTACCCCATCTGTACATTTCTGAGATAGCACCTGTTCTGCTTCTCTGTCTCTGTTTTGATGGTGTAAGCTGTTACTTTGGTATCGTGTACTGTTTCCTCCCCAGCTTCTGGGTGAGAGTTTTATAATGAATGAATTCCACTTTTGACCCAAAAAAAAAAAAAAAAAAAAAGAGACCAGCAAAATCGAATTGGAATTGCTCATATTGCAACTCCAACTTGTATTGAATAAACAAAGTTTCACCAACTCTTCATTTTTATTTCTTCTCATCATCAATTTATCCAACACCACTTTCATACTTTTGTATTCAATATCATTTCTTTACGTTGAGTTCAACACCTTAAAGCTTTCTTTTGCTGGTTGTACTCCATTTGCAAGTGGCTGGCCGCACTTCATGCTTTTGTTTTATTTATATCAATGCCATTATCACTTCTTGCTTGATTTCATCTCCTTATCTTTCTTTATTTGTTGCCAATCTCACCAAGGACCTACTAAGAGAAAGTAGTTATTTAATTTCCAATACTTCCATTAGCATAATGCCTAAAATTATAAAAATCAAACTTTACCCTAAAGAGCTTAAAATAAAATAAATTAATGCACTAACAAATATATATTTAGGGATAGAAATTGTAATAATTATGTGCTTATAAATAATCGCAGAGTTAAGATCTTCATTTAGTTAACATGGCCTAAGTAATTTTTGCAGGACTGGATTATCTACACAATGGCTGCAAGCCATCAATAGTACATAGAGATCTAAAGACTTCAAATATCTTGCTAAATGAAAATCTTCACGCCATGATAGCCGATTTCGGTCTTTCTAAAGTTCTTGCAACTGAAAGTGCCACTCATGTATCAACTGACCCTAAAGGAACATTTGGGTACCTTGATCCTCCGTAAGCGTTAATTATGCTCACTAAATTTTCCAAATTTTTAGGGAATATTGTTTTACGATCAGATCCAAATTGTAACCTTTTCATATATATTGAATTGAGTTATATGTTAGGTAGTCATTTTCTATAAGCCCAAAACCCTAAATCCTATAGGTATGTATAGTGCTTTATTAGATCAAATTATCCCTAAAACAAGGAATATCTAATTAATTGTTTTCCCTATTCTGCCAGATATTACAACACAGGAAAGTTGAACAAAAAGAGTGATATCTACAGCTTTGGGATTGTGTTGCTCTTGCTAGAGCTAATAACTGGTAGAGCAGCAATAATAAGAGACGTAGAAGCTGAACCTATTCACATATGTCGATGGGTGAGTCCAAATTTTGAGACTGTGGAAATTCGTGGATTCAAGAATACAAGGGACCTACAACATCTCTTCTGCATGGAAAGCTCTACAAATTGCCATGGCATGTGTGCCTTTAACAGCAATCCAAAGGCCTGATATAACTTTTATCTATAACGACTTGAAGGAATGTTTGGAAATTGAGATGTCCTCTGGAAGAACACAAATTGTAGGGAACGATGATACAAAGTTGAAGCAGCTCAATTAGAATAGCCTCCCAAATTGAGTCAGAAACAAGTTCAAGCAGCCCAGTTTTTATGGCATCTTAGCAGTGTGTGTCAAAAAACACCCTCCCTTTCCTAACTTTAGCGAACTACATAGATCATCAGCCACCAATTCTGTTCTAGACTTCAAGTATTGGTTTAAGCTCTTCTCCTCACAAATGTTACGCTCCAATTCCCCAAGTTTCTTGCACATTGTTATTTTCACATGAATTTGGCCTCTTGTTTTAGTTTTATTATTGGTGTAAGGTCACCCCAAGTTTGTAATTTCAACTTTCTTGCGTACAAAAATAAAATAAAATATATTTACCACTCGGTCATATTCATGTGTTAAGTCTTCCTCCGTATTTTACAAGTCTTCCGTAGACCCACTGTCCGTCACATGCAGGCCAAATTTTCAACAAAAGTGAAAGTGAATTGATCATAAATTAACTACAGAACATGTCAACATGACACACGCACAAGAGTTGCACATACAAGACGACCCAAGTCAATTGAGCCCATGCAATTTCCCTTTTGTCAATTTCAATGATTTTCCTGCTCTGGGCTAAAAGCGGATTCCCCAATAAAATATTATTAATGAATTTTCGTACGAATTTCCCATTTTACGTAAATCTGAAAGTTCCCTAATGGTTATCACTTATTCATTTATTTAAAAAGAAAAAATTGACGAGCATTAGTTTTATGAGAAATATGAAAATACGTGTAACAGAAAAGACAATTGCACAATACAATATTGGTTCAACTCAAAATGTGCAGCGGGTAAGCAATTAGTTATTGGTGTAGTGCTATTTCTCTTCCACTGGATTCCCATAAAACTAATCAATGTATTGAGACTATTGATCAGGGATTGCTTCAACAGGTGATGGAGGTCATAATCTTATGGTGATGGCAGAAATTGAGGCCTTCTAAACTTCTTGTGGTTGTGCATTGGTCTGATCTTATGGTGACCATATATGAAAATCAGCCGCACAACACCCATGACCACCTCTTCTTTCGAATGTCCTTTTTGTGAGGGCTTGACATACCTAATCTCACTAGGTCAATAAGTGTTGGATGGCATGGAACTATGGAACTATGCTTATCCATCACAGAATTAATGCTATCTACTGGGAAAGATGCACACACACACACACACACACACACACACACACACACACACACACACACAAAAACCAGGTTCACATTGTCATTGTCCATGTCCCAAAGTTTAATTTGGAACTCAACACCAGCAAGCAACCATTATATGTTCGCTGCCCCTTGCTTTCATCCCATTCCACAATGTATAATTCTCCTTTATTAGTCTCATCCCATATGAGAATAAAGTATGATTTGCATAACAATAGGAATACTTAAGCAATCAAGTACTCACGCTGAAGGAGTTATGTAGAAGGTGTATACAGAGGAGGGTGTGGGTGTTGGGGGTGGAGAGGCCTGGTATAATTAGGTTAACATTTTTTATTATATATATATATATATACTTTTTTTTAATAATTATTTATATTTATAGTTAATTAACGAAAATGCCCTTAAACTTAACGGAAGCTTTAATGGAGTTATATGTAGGTGGTGGATTAGAACACTTTACAAAGGTCAGGTGGTTAAAAATGAAATTTAAAAGTTCAGGTGGTAATGACGCACATGTCTATAAGTTCAGGTGGTATTTATGCAAATTTCCCTAATAATTATGAGTTATTACTTATTAACAATTGATCACGGAGTTGAAGCAGCCTGTGGTGACTTTGATTCTAGAATCATCAGCTCATATTTTAGCCACCAGTTGGCCAGTTGATTATCATCAATGGTATTTTGTGCACAGAACAGACATAATTCATCATTAATTTTGTTTTTCTAAGACAGGTACGTATGAATGGTAGACTTGCATGTTGTGGAAAATATTGCGCATGCGACATTTTAGAAGTTTTACCAGTGACTAGACAAACATTTATAACCTTATAAATGTCATTCAAATTTAGATTTTGGATAATTCCATCCAAATAGGACAAAATTATAATGAATATTTGTTAATTTGACTCTTCATCCTGCCAAACATATTGCTCGGTCAAGAAAATGTATCTGAATAGCATTTCTGATTGTATAAAATGATAACAAATATTAATCTGGTTTCCCAAAGTTGAAGGATGTCGCAAACATTCAAGCCATTCCTCCTTCCATTGCTTGGTGGCTTTGCTCTTATGCTCCTTCTAGTTCATGCCCGGGATGATCAATCAGGTATGTTCAAAACACATTTTTCGTAACATATGTATATAGCATCATCTTATATAAAATCCATGTCTTCTGTCTCAGGATTCATTAGCATAGACTGCGGCCTTGCTGGAAATTCCAGCTATGCTGAAAAGACAACCGGCATTAACTACATTTCAGACGAAACCTTCATAGACACCGGAGAAAGAAAATCCATATTGCCGGAATACAGCAATAGGTATCAACAGCCCTATACGTCTCTTAGGAGCTTCCCTGAAGGAAAAAGAAACTGCTACGAGATCAATGTTACTGATGGCTACAAGTATTTAATCAGATCAAGTTTTGTATATGGGAATTATGATGGCCAAAATAAAGTTCCCGAATTCGATCTGCATCTTGGAGCTAACTTATGGAGCATGGTGAAGTTGGAGAGTGCATATCCACTATCACACACAAGGAGCTCATACATGTCCCTCGCCGAAACTATATATATGTTTGTCTACAGGCTCCGGGGTCCCATTTATATCAGCTCTAGAAATAAGGCCTTTATTGAATGGATCTTATATAACAGAAGGGGAGTCCTTGGCACTTGACATGCGATTTGACACGGGTCAAAAAGCTAATTTAACGTCATATACGTGCGTACATAGTACACGGGCTCGAGAGTATTTCTCTTCCCAATGGTAGAAGACGTCCTAATTTCGAATCCCCTGCCAACAATACTAACGAACTCAATGTATCTTATTCTCTATGCAGGTATCCTTATGACGTTTTTTATCGCTTCTGGAATGGCTACTATGAAAATGATTGGACACAATTAATTACCACATCCACCATAGACAATAGCAATAATTTCCGACCGCCAGAAATTGTCATGAGCACAGCTGCTACACCAAAAAATAAAAACGGTTCCTTGGAAATTCGGTGGCTGCCTTCTGATTGATTTTGATGAGGATTTTCTGTTTGATTCCGAAAATATTTAAATTAGTTGACGCAATCAAAGACATCAAGTCAACTTATAAGATTAAAACAAGACATGGACAAAAAGAACAGAAAAGATAAAGAGCTAATGCAAATAGCACATTGTGATAACACCATCTCCATGAGACTTACTTGACCAAGAGCCACCATTGTGATAACTCCATGAAACTTCTCTGGATAATCTGTTGTTGTTTGGAAATCTTCTTTACAAATAAAATCCTTGAACACACTCACTCATATTGTTAATATTACTGAATAAATGGCCTAGGCGGGCGCAAGGCGAGCTAGGCTGGGGCTAGGCAGTCTAGGCAGTTGCTAGGTGATCACTAGGCGGGTGCTAGGCGGTCTAGGCGGTCGCTAGGCAGTCTAGGCAGGCGCTAGCGCCTAGAAAAAAAAAAAAAAAAAAAAAGAAAGAAGCCATTTTGGAATCTCCAAGGTCAAGGATGAGATGACGATGGTGCTATGAGAGAGAGAGAGAGAGAGAGAGAGATGAGGATTGAAGAAGAGAGGTCGCCGGTTATGTCTGAGCGAGAGAGAGGGGCTAGAAGATGGTCGTGTTCGAATGAATTCAAGGAGATCCATTCTATCTCGTAGTCATTATATTGTTTTTATAGCGTATAGCCGCATGGCAATATGTTAGATATTCTATTTTTTCTTTTAAAAAAATTTCCCTGATTTTCGTTTATCGATAAGAGTAGTTTATAACATTATCCACTACTATTAGGCTATTACCCGAGTCTTTATTGTCCCCGTTTAATTTTTTACTTTTTTAGAGTTTATAAAAACATGACACTTGAAATAGATTTCATGTATAAATGTAAATGATACTCATCCACTAAAAATATATACATATGTGAATAAGAAATTATCAAAAGACATCAAGAAAGTGGCATAAAAAATAGTAGAAATAGGCATCAAGAAAAATTATTCACGTTGATCTGCAACATGGACAAGAGTTTCCTATAAATTGCATCTGCCTTTATATATATATATATATATATATATATATTAAGAGTATAGCCGCGCGGCTACTAATTATACTACAAGAATAAACAGAGTTGGCTTCTGTTTTGGTTAACCGCAAAGAAATCCTCCTACAGTGAAAGTTTTGTGTATAACAGGCGTATAGCATACAACGTCCTCTGAATAATTGGTCACGTGATTAATACGTTTGAGATGTTTGAATGTGAGAGTGACCTCTATGCAACAAAACTACATTTGATGTGTTTAGAAATTTAAGTAAGAATTTGCGTGACATGACAAGGGCTTGAATTGCAAGGTGTCCGTGTTAGTTAACCAAGCAAATGTTAACCGCCAACATGCAAAGACAGGAGTGAAAAGAAAATCAACAACCTATTTGCTTGCTTGTAACTCTTTGTGCAAAGATGACAGGGAAGGACGACATGTGTATAATATGTCTAAAAAGCCTTAGAAAGACCTGTGTATAAGCTAAGACAAGCCTTAGAAACCATCAACAGCAATTCAAACTGAATCAATGGTACTAAAGCCTGAGATCCCAGGGCTACTGCCGCCAGAGAACCCGAGTGACATAGCAAAGTGTTGGTCATCACTTCAGAACGTTCCTGGGTGCGCATGGGAAATTTATGCCTCAATATCTACTGGTAAATTTGTAGTAGGCCCTGCTTGTCGCAAGGCCTTCCAAAAATAGAATATTCTATCTTGCCACATCACCTTCATGGGCCTCCAGATTTTGGGTCCCATCTGATGTGGTAAGAACTACTACATACCAGGAAATCACAAGAATTGTTTTTAACCAAAAATGTTAGCTACTTTTTAATAAATTTTTGTTCTTTTTCATGAATAAATCAATCAACTCAAGCCTACATGCTGTCATCTTGTCTTATCCACTATTCATAACCTCCCACTTGACATCTAGTAGTTATAACTGCTATTATATCCGCAGATTTTGCTGAAATTATTTTGCTTTTGTTCTAATAGACAGCTATTTTTCCAGCAGGGACCAGACAAGTGTTTCACATGCTGAGAATTATTTTCACCATCTTTGTGATATAACATAGCTCAACAATTCTTCTTCTGTCAAAGTCAAGTCTGGAGGAAGAACTGCCCTGATGTTGATGATTTCAATTCACAAGCCTATGTTGTTGAGATATTCCCATGTCAGAATTAGAAGTCATCAAAAGTTTCACAAGATTGATCCCGTTCCATTCGTGTGAGTTACAATTTTATATTTCTATTGATATTTGGTTTCCATTTGCATTCAATTGTACTCTTGGGTTTCTTCATTTGCATTCAGTTGTATTCTTATTGACCTGTATGCTGGAAGTGTGTTTTTCCTCCTTGTACTCGGTTGCATTCTCAATTCCTGTTTGGAAATTCTTTAGTTTGAATTTGATCAAGTCAATTAGGGTTTTTGTTCAAGAAACGGCCATCCCTTATATTTGTTACATATCTCCCATTATTATTTTTTCTTTACCAAATGAACAGGAAAATGGAAGCAAAGTCTTCCCGAACGAGGAAGATGGAAGAACTGTCAGTAAAGCATCCAACACCATTTATTCCTAAGTTGGAACCATCGGGGGAGCCTGATCTACAATTTGACCGGCTGCAAACATCAGATCAAGATTTAGTTCAAGAGAAAAAGTTTGATTTGGACAATTTATTGCACGAGAGGCCATCCTTGATGAAGAATTGTGGGTAAGTAAACTTTCTAGGCGATGACATCTTAACCATTAAGTTTTCGATGTGTATGCTATTTGTGTCCCATGAATAATGTCTTGTGGTTGCATGCTTTTGGATTTGTGGCAGACAGCAGCATGGTTACGTGCAGAAAGTCACTGGGAGGATCGGGCAAATGACCGGTGTGTACTTTTCCTCTTTTACAACTTTCAGATTTTCTTCTCTCTCTCTCTCTCTCTCTCTCTCTCTCTCTGGTCTTTGTTAATTAGTATAGCTGGGCGGTACCAAAAATATAATATCTTAAAAGTGTAGCCGCACGACTATTCTCCAAAAAAGAATACACGAGTATAGCCGCGCGGCGCTACCCCAAAAATATAATATCATACAAGTATAGACGCGAGCCTATACTCCAAAAATAGAATATCTTAAAAGTATAGCCAAGAATAGCTTAAACGTATAGCCGTGCGGCGATACTTGATAAATATAATAGTTTAAACGTATAGCCGCACGTCTCTACCCCAAAAATTATAATATCGCACAAGTATAGACGTGCGGCGATACCCCAAAAAATTGAATACCTTAAACGTATAGCCGCACGGCTATACCATGGGGTTTCCTTGCATTGCATTCGTGTCATAGTATGCCTCACGGGAACATTTGGAATTGAACACAACATTGGCCCAATCCTAATTGGACTATAAAGATTCATTTCATTTCATTATGAGCGATGTTATATTTAGTGCACCCAAAATCTGAAAAAGAATATATCCAATTTGGTGGAGTCTGTTCAATACCGTAATCACTCAATTGATTTTAGGATTGAATACATAAAAATCATCTTATTGCATGCAACAATTTGAGACACATTATGGGGTCAACTCAACACCTAATTACTGCTACTGGTGTAAAAATACATAATAAACTGAAGATTTACAACATCGTAATCAATATAACGTTTGCAATAATCACTCAATAGATACACAATCCAATTCAGTACAATACTGAACTTCGATAACTCAGCAACAAATGAATCAAACTGGTGACACAAAATCTTTAAACTCTGCACATACAATACAATTCAGTGGTATGAACAAACCAAAACCCTTCAAGCCATGGATCCCATACTGTACATGATCATTGTATCCTCGTATAAGATTCTTGAAAAACGAAAAACCTCAAAACCAATCAATTAATCTCATCCAAATAGTAGAGAAAATGGTGTTTTTTTTCAATGGTATCTATGTTGTTGTAATGTACGTATATACAAACACAAAAATCATGTATAGGAAACAGAGGATGACTGCAATGAAAATTTGATCAGTAATTGAAACTGTGTTAGACTTTTTTCTCGAATTCGAAAGCAGTGGGACTTTGAGTTGTATGGAAAAAGAGGCTTGGCTTCTAATGATGTCTGGGACAAAGATCATTTCTCCTGAAACACATTTAAACCCCTGCAGGCTCCAAATGAAAACAAACCCAAGTAATTAATTCAGCAGATGAAGAAGCTAAACCAATTAACCAGATGAAAGCTAGAGCTTAGCCGAATTACCTCAAGCTGATTTCCAACAGTGACAACTAGAGTCTCTGGCCCTGCATCAAAACACAGAGAGCCTCCCTCTCCCTCTGACCGGATGTTGAACTGAGAATGCTCAAGCGGAAGGTGAAGGCACAAAGCATGATCCTCACACTCACGCAAATTATTTCCATTAATGATCTCATTCTGCAAATAATTAATACTTGGGTTTTGCTCCATTGAATGATCTTGATGATTGTATCTGTATAGCCTGACTTTTCCCAGTTCACTTCTCATCTTCTTCTCAACTTGCTTCTCTGCATTTGCGAACAAAACTTCACTCACTTGATCTGCAATTGCTTCAACTTTGCCTGCAACCTTCTCCATACTTTTACTGCAAATTAATTAGGAGAATTAGTACTTCATTAAAAATTTAAACTTGGGTTAACTAACTGCATTAACCCGATAAATAAGATACAGAGTTTCGGGTGCTTAATTACCAAAAGCCCCGATATTTTTCGTCCTCCGCTACTTTTTGGCCCGATTCAAGGACCCATTTAATCTCCTCACGATTGCCAGTGCGCTCAACGAAACGTCGACTGAGATTTCCGTCACTTCCGAAAACCGATTCGGCTTCCCGAACCACCGATCCCAACTCCTCGGCCGAAATCCCGTGATTGGTGATCCGAAACGCGCCGGATTCTCTGGCCGATACGAGAAGCCGCGCGATGGCGTCGCTGGAGAGCGATCGGAGATCGACTTCGGCGGGAACGGGATGGCGTGTGCCGGAGAAGTGAGGGTGAAGCTGAGGTGGCCATGCGAGGTCGGGGATTTGCAGGCACTTGTCGAGGAATTGCGTGAAGTTCTCGTTGGATGCAGAGCGCGAGCCTTTGGCAGTCGGGATCGGTGACGGCGGTGGCGCCCCCGACGTTAACCGGCTCCTCCCGCGCATGATAGCCATGGTGGAGCAGGATAACAGCTGACTGAATCAGAGTGGCGTGGTGGTGATCACTAATTCACTGGTGAGGTTGATCAGTTATCGTATGAAATATGAAAGGGTGGCAATTTGCTTCTTCTTTTTCTTTTTTCCTTAAAAAAAACATTTTTTAATTTTAATTGATTGCACGTTCGAGTGTTTGAGTTATGAGCTGTGAGTTTGGTGGCATGGGACCCATGGGCCATATCGGCCTTAGTAGTTGATGATGGGCCATATTTTATGGCCCAAGCTAACTACAACACGAGTGATTCGTCCATATGCGTGAAACTAGTTATGAACTACTGATACATTGTGTGATCCACTTGAATTGTCAACCACGGATGCACTGTGAAATCTACTTATATCAACGTGTCAAAGTCACTCACGTTATAGCCGTCCGGCTGCACTCTTTTTTTAAAAAAAAAAAATTAAAGAAGAACCTCTATCGTTTAAAGCCATGTGTCAAAAATAGGTATAGCAGGACGGCTATACTTTTTTTAAATTAAAAAATTAATAATAAAAAAGGACCCTCCTAGTTGCATTGGTTTGTACCTTATGGATATTAATTTGCAACATATCCAAAGTAGATATTAATCTTCCTCTATTTGATGTTTTAATATAATTTTTATACCATATGTTATTCTTATTCAATAATATGTGAGAATTATTTGTATAATACGTGAATTTGCGTGTGTTACTGAAAATTTATAAAAAGTACGTGAAAATTTTAATTTAAATGATTAACTAATTGGTTTTAATTTGAATCACAGAGCCCAAGGCCTATCTTTTGATTAATTAAATGTATTAATTAACCATTGACCCAATTAACTAGGCATTTAACCTTAAGTCATGCCCACAAGCCACTCAATTGGGCCACTTAGAGCAGCTCTAGCGCTGCTATCAAACTGGGCAAAAGGCCCCCCTGGCAAACCCAATGCAGCTCCAGCGCACCACTTGCAGCCCGGGCAAGCCCTGGGTCCCACCAGCCCGGGCAAGCCCAAGTGCGGATTTTGCCTGGGCTTTAGCCCGAGGGCGCTGACGTCAGCGCTGATGTTATGCTAACGTCAGCGAGCAAAAAAAAAATCTATAAAATTATAAAAAATTCAATTTTTTAAAAAAAAATACCAAAAAATTATGGATGTTTTCCCTATAAATACATAACAATTTTATTCACTTTCCCTATAAGTACATAACAATTTTATATTTTGTTGCATATATTTTTTTTTTCTTGCCCTTAACTTGCCTTAAACTTTGCCCTCATGAGTGGAACCACAAATGCAAAGGCTGACACTATTCACGTGAATAGTTGCAGCCCTTGCCTTAGACTTAGCCCTTGTGGGTGGAAGTGCTCTTACATAGCCAATACAAACTATTCTATTTCCAAGAGTAAGTCTTATAAAGACTTCCAAGGAACTCTATTGTTCCAATGTGGGAATTCAAACATGTTTGCAATGCCTTGCAAAACTAACAAAACTAAATTATGCTTCACTTTTCAAACAACACTTTCCTCAATTTATTCTAGAAGATGAGATTTCACGTCTACATGGTGCTGACTGCAACATAAGGTGAGATGTTCAATATGAGTTGCAAGGCAGGCTATCATATGATTATGACTTTTCTTTTTGTTTATGTCTTTTATTTTTTTGAACTTAGTAAATAGGAGCACGATATTTACACAAAATAGAAGTTTACTCTGCGGAATTAATGTTGCAGGCTCATAACAATCATAGTCTGCGTATCTCACTATGAACCTTAAACTTTTCTTAAGGCTCAACATTTATACAAGCATTACTTTACTTACACACACAACTACAAAGCAAGTGCCAAGAAACTTGCTACTTGCCAACCAAGGAACCACCGCAGCTAGCTTCCCGGTGTTTGAAATCCAATGTTCTCCACAGCCCCAACAGTCTTAAACAGCCGCCTCTTGTTGATCTCCTCCACCAGTGACCGGTGCAACAATTGGCTTCGCACATCAATAAGCGATTGAATCCTGGGTAGTTTCCTTTGATGATGACAAAGAGGATGATTTAATTCATGAGGTCTCTGATGATGCAGTTGTGAATTGCAGTGTTTGTAGCAATTTGCAGCCCTGCTTTCTGAAGGACAAAATCTAGATTTGTGGTTCTTTCCAAAGCAAGAGATTAAGTCATGGTGGTCATCTTCAGTGCCTGAGAAGTAGTTTATGTTGGAGTAGTTGCAGGAGCTGAAGGAGCTCTGAGAACTTGCATCATCATTGATAAACAGATCACCTGCATTGACAAAATATCAGACCAAATGCAGTCAAAGACAAGCAAAGACTAGTTGGAGGAAGTCCTTTTAATGAACATACCTTGAAGCCAATCTTGGTCATTAGAAATGTTCTCCCCACAATGGAATTGGGTCTTACAGTGAGAGCTGAAAGCATGGAGAGAGTTTTGGGAGGAAGAACAGGAGGAGAAAGAGTAGAAAGGATGGTGACCATGATCATCATCTTCATCTTCATCTTCATAGTTAAAGCTGTGCTGATGAGGATGATAATCCTGGGGTGTGCCCCATTTCTTATGACCTGGAATTAAAGAAGATATCTCTTTTTCTATCATCTCCGCGATCTCCGAAGGTTCCCAGTCACTGATTTCTAACTCTTTCACCATCTCCGTTGCTACAGCAATTGCAGTGTCGTTCACAATGTCAAAGGGAAAGTATATGTTCCTAGCATTTTGCCCTGTTAAGAAACCACCATCATCAGCAATGTGCAAATAACAATTTAGACCATAAAGTATGGATTATGAATTTTTAAGGATCTCCTAATCTGCATGATCAATTAGTCATATGTGCAAAAGGGTTGAGAGAGGGAGTACCATCCAAGTCCGAAATCCGAACTTTGAGAAAAATTGTATCATCCTCTGGATTCATTTTCCCAGTAATGATCATGTTTGTGCTTCTTTTCAAATCAACCCCCAAGTCCAAAGGCAGCTCCTCTTCCTCTTCCTCCTCCTCCTCCTCCTCCTCCTCCTCCTCCTCCACTGCTGAATCATCATTAGGCATCAAGTTTTGAAATGGGATTCTTGGGGTGGACAGCAGCTCTCTATCATCAGAGGCTAGAAAAGGGTCAAGCAAGAGCTCATGTGCTGGCAACCTCTTTGAGGCATTTTCCAAACACTTCCCTACAAATCGTTGCGCCTCCAAATCTTCAATCTTGTAGAACGCGTTTGGTAGCTTCCCCTGCAAACAAAAGAAGTCACATTAATTAGACATGGTAAATTACCAAAAATGAAGTGTCACATACTGAAGTGACCACCAAACTTACTAAAGTCACTTTCTTGTAAATTTGGGCAGGATTTGAGCACTCGCTATATGGATATTCTGAAGTGAGCATTTCCAGCACACACATGCCAAAGGCGTATATGTCTACTAGCTCATTATATTCCTCCTCGTATAATTCGGGTGCCATAAATTCCGGTGTACCTGATGAAAAAAAGAAGCATATTAAAATTGAAAATTAGGAAGATCAGATTCACTTAACTTTCAGAGACAGAAAGAGAGTTAGAGATCATTGCCTATGACACTGTGAGCATGATGGGAACCACGAAGAACAGCTGCCAAACCCAAATCACCAATCTTGACTTGCCCAAGATGGCCATTAACAAAGATGTTGTCACACTTAAGGTCTCTGTGAATCACAGGTGGATCAAGTTTGTGCAGATAGGCAAGTCCACGCAAGATCTGCCGAGCCCAATTTTTCACTGCTCCAATATTCACTAGCTGGTACTTCTGTCTGTACCTGTTTCAAGTTCCACAGCATGCCTCATTAATCAAACAGTTTCAGTTAGTTTGGTTTCTTTTTTCGAGTACGAGGATTTGAATTTAGCACATTTGAGTTTACAACTCATAACATGTTCTAGCATTCAACGACCTCTAACATGTACATTCTTTTTAAGTGTTCCATGCTAATATATATTATAGTTGTAAGTGGTGGTTCATTACTCTCTGAGGGTGCCGGAGGTGAACATTTCGGTGATGAAGTTGAAGGTTCTCCGATTGACGTCGATCCAAGACATGTGGTATTGGATGATGGAGTCATGGTTGAGGTTCTTGAGGAGGTTCACCTCCGAGTAGAGACGCTGAAGTTCGTCCGGCGAACCAAAGACATCTTTGAGCTTGACTTGGTTCCAAGCCACCTCCATTCCCAGGACCTCATCAAATGCCTTGTAAACTGTCTTCATGGCTCCTTTGCCAAGCATTTCCCTGAACTGCTTATGACACAGTAATTAAGGCCCTCTTAATTAGTCCTCATGATCTCACTAATTATCATTAAAACCAATTATAATTCGATGCTTGGTATGCATGCATGGCTGTTAAGAAAAGTCTGGGAGGAGCTATGGCTAGCTAGCTCGGCTCCATTGAGCCGCTCTGTATGAGTGGAAAGTGTCTGATCTTCATGCCGCACAAATTGGCATGCCGGACAGGTTTATCGTTCACATAAATAAGGCTGCATCATCCAATTGGGCTAATTAAATATTAAAAGTGAATCTTGGATGACACATTTTTTTTAATTTTAAATCAAATTAATACCGTTTCACAAATGAAGGTTGACCAGCACAACAGGAAAAATGACTTATTTAACCCTCCAAATAGCTCAAGATTATATTTTTCTATTCAATATTATCCAAATTTACATTTTTGTCATATTAGTTGACGAAAAATGTGAATTTTGTCCTAACAAATTTGCCAAGTATAGAAAAATCAGAAAAATTATTTTCATAGTTCATGGTATCAAGTTTGAATTAAAACTAGAAAGATCGAGTTAAGGATGCTTCTTGAATCCCGAAAAAAAAAAAAAAAAAAAAAGGATGCTTCTTGAAAGATATTAT